TCCCAACCCATGCGAGTGGAGACCGTCACCTCTGTCAGGGATCCAAACGGAGTGGAGGTAAACAACCTCAGCAAGAGTTCAGATATGGAGGTTGAGGTAGTAGCTGTTACTCCGATGAAGAGGGAAGAGCCTGTGGTGACCCGGAAGGTGCGTACATAATATGCTGTACCCCGTAAGATATCTCAACAAAGAGCAATCGGTGCAGGAGCTCTGGAGTTACTACCGTGCGTTGATCTTACTCATAACATTGGTGCACATTCAAAACCGATTATTTCCATTGTACAGTGTACTACAACGGAGATAACGTGAGCTATCTTCAGTATGCGTTGAATATCCCTTCCTAAATAAAAGATCAAGGGAGTTGGGCCCATCAGTAAGTCTGTTCATAACGTCGGAATACAAAATCGTTAATCACTGGCTATGCTAGTCTATTTCTTGACTCTTTTTCAGAGCCAGGCAACGTCTGCTGGGTGGGATCCTTCCCAAGGCCCGGGGTCTACATGCACAAACTCTGAGCAATGCGTTCTCCCTTGGGGAAGCGGTACCAAGTCTGTCAGCTCTGTCGTGCTGATCGCAAACGGTCTAAGCTTTGCGGTACGTAACGAATACTAGGTTGTGACGGATCCCCGCTTGACCCGCTGTAGATCATGGCCATCCTGTTCACAACGATCAGCTCAGCAGCCGACTACAGCACGTTTGGGCGGTGGTTGCTGCTCGTCGTTACCGTCATCGGTTGGGCTGCTCAGTTCGCCAGCATGGCCCTTACGAGTACGCTTCTCACAGTGTTCCTTGGAATCGTGCGCATTAACTGCGCACCCTCTCGCAGAACCCTCACGATGGGAAGCTGCGATGGCACTCTACATATTATCCTACGTCTCATACGGTGCGACCCTCGTGTTCTACGCCGCAGTGTTCCCGCGGCTCGCGCGCAACACTCCGCATGCTCGCAACCTGCGCGAACAGCTCGAGAACCGGGAGATCTCCAGAGAGGAGTACGAGCTCGAGGAGAGCCTAGAGAAAAACCGGGTCAGCAATATCAGCGCGGTGCGTGTCGTCATCGTGCTGCTTTGCCTATGTACGCTGATGAGCGATGCAGTGGCACAGTAACATCGGGTTTATCTTCGTCCTCTGTCTGAATCTGTCGGTCTTGCTGCCTCTCGCGAACAACGCCCTGGTCGACAACTATACGATAGTTCTGTGAGTGCTCATGGATTGCGCTCTCCACCGCATCGATCTCACCTCGATCTAGAACCAACATGTATGGGGTGATCCTCAGTGCATGGTGGTGTGAGTAAATCGCGTACCCTGATGCCCTCACTATGATGTTTACCAGTTGCAGTCATCTTCCAACAGCCTCGACCCGGACCTCCGCTTCCTCCGGGGGAGCATTACCTGACCATCGGGTGGAAGCAAGTGCGTCAGGCTGCCTTCCCTAACCGGTGCTTGCATCGACGCGTCCGATCCGCGATAGATCTGGCTCGTCCTGAGGCAATGGAGGAAGCTGCCGTACACCTTCATGTACCTCTTCGCGTTCTTCCTTCTATCTGATGTAAGTCCGCTTGTCAACCTTAGCGTCGTCTCAGGCATCTCACCACACTGTAGGGCCTCAACACCACCGGCACGCTCATCTCCATCTGCCAGAACGACCAGTTTGAGTTCTCCTTCCTCGAGAGCACGTACCTTAGCTTTGCGCAGGCTTTCACTGCCACTGCCAGGTACGCAAAACAATCACACACATCCGGGTGAAGCTCACATCTGTGATTTCCAAAGTACTATTGGCTTCTGGTGGATCCAGAGGTACTGGAAGATCTCGACGAAGAAGATGGCGAGTAGCCAGCCTATATCAGAGACGGACACAGCACTGAGCGGTGCCCTTCACAGTTCATGGCCACAAATGTCTTCACGATCTTGATTCCGGTTTGGGGCATGGTCGGATTGTGGACCACGAGGTTTGGTTTCCACCAAGTCTGGGAGTACTGGTGAGAATCCGTGCCTTCTCTTCCATTATCGGCTCACATGGAGCTGCACTACAGGGCGTGGAACGCTGTCTTCGGCCTGTTCCAAGCCCCGTACTACTCCTACTCGCAGACCATGATGGTGGAACTCGCGCCGCCGGGCTTCGACAATATGGTACTCCGCGTGATCGCTCCATGCCAGTGCCCAGGCTGACGCGACCCCCTGACGTCCCCCAGTTCTTCGGATTGTTCGGCCTGTCGAACCGCGCGTCGTCGATCATCGGGCCGAACGTCATCCAGGCCATCATCAACCGCACGCAGAACAACTGGGAAGGCTTCCCGTTCCTCGTCGCCATATGCACCGCAGCCAGTCTTGTCATCTGGTTCGGTGTGTCTCGCACCGCTCGTTTGCTCTCCGTGTCGTGCACGCTAACTCGGTACACTAGGTGTGGACGTGGAGAAGGGTCGCCGGGACGCCGTTGCGTGGGCGGAGCAGAACCGGCCGTACGCAGAGACGGGTGTGCGTGTCAAGGGGGACGCGTCCGAGTCGTTGGACTCGGGGAACTATGAGAAGAAGCCTTGAGCTCGCTGGTTTACCTTGCGAGGGTTCAACATGAATCTTGGGGCATAAGTAGTCATGACCTTGTAGCATAGTAGAGAAAGGAATGTTGAGTGTATTCTTGCTAGAACACTTCGCGTCATTGGACGCACAGCGCAAAAATATGTATACGTAACCTAGAGTTGCATCCAGATACCTCCTCCCTATCCCACCGTTTGTGCACCTGTCTATACACCCGCAGTAGAGAAGCGCTTTAGCGGCCCGTAAGTATCGGGGCATGGTTGAGGGTTCGGCGATCGGAGGAGGGCGCGGAGCGATCGAGCTGAGTAGTTCGTGACGGAGGAACACCGATGTCGGGGAGAGACAGAAGGTGCGTACTGGTCTGCGAGACGAGGAATGAGCAACCGCTATCGCCCCCTTCCACTGTGATGTACCCTCGCCGACCACTCACGTCGAGGATAGACGGGCCCGGGCATGCATGCTGTTGGTATATGTGCGCGTGGTAGTCTCGCCAACGTGAGCATCCAGTACAGTCGATCTGTCCATAACTGACCTAGCGTGCCCGCAGGTCCAGCTTGTGCTATCAATAGGCCGCAGTAGGCCCCTGCAGACCTGTTGGTGATGCCGGTTCGTTGACCCATTCGGCCTCGCCATATGTCGCGCTCTGCAGAAGCCGGCGCCGTGCCGTGCCGTCCACCTCGGAGTCGCAATACAATTAAGAGGCCCGTGTAGGTAACACTGAGCCCTTCCTGTCTGATCCTACATATAGCGTCGAGTCAAACCGATCATGGCGAGCAACGACGAAGAGGCCCGGCGCATCCTCGAAGAGACGTGGGGCACGCTGGACGAAGAAGCGCGCGCGTTCCTCAAGTCGCGCACGGGGATCGAGGAGGAGGCGCGGTTGAAGGAACACATCCTGGAGGTGCAGGCGGGCGCGTTCGCGGTGCGTCGCTCACCTTCATCGACACACTGGCAGCCTGCGGGGAGTGCTGACGGGTTCCGCGCGCAGGTGCACAAGTACAGATGCGTCCAGAACTTTAGCTTCTTGAAGTAGGTCGGTCGGTCGGTCTGAGCTCGAGGGGCGCGCGTTGATGCGCTGCTTTGCGCTAGGCTGAAGATCTCGCGCCTGCCTGCGTATGAGCAGCTGTTGAAGCTGGGCCGTGAGCGCGAGAGCGCACTCTTCCTGGACATAGGCTGCTGCTGTGCGTGTTCCGGGACTTGCGGAGGCGGATTTCCTACTTAATGAATTCACCTCACCGTACCAGTCGGTAATGACATCCGCAAGGCCATAGCGGATGGCTTTCCCATGGAGAACGCCATCGGTTCAGACCTCTACGCTGGTAAGGCCTGCTCCAGTATCGACGCACTTCACTCACCCCGACCAGCATTCTGGGACCTCGGCCACAAGCTCTTCAACGACAGCCCCGAGACGTTCCCAGTGCCCTTCCTCGCGGGTGACGCCTTCTCGCCCTCCTTCCTCCAGCAGAGCCCGCCCTCCCACTGGCCGCCCCCCACGCCCGCGCCCTCCCGCTCCTCCCTGGAGGAGCGCGGCACCCTAACCCCGCTGCTGGGGCACGTCTCCGCCATCCACGCCTCGTCCTTCTTCCATCTCTTCAAGGAGGCCCAGCAGGCCGCGCTCGCACGGTCGCTCGCGGGGCTGCTCTCGCCCGCGCCGGGGTCGGTGATCTTCGGCGCGCACGGCGGGCGGTCGAAGAAGGGGCTGCGGGACGAGGTCGCGCGCGGCCTGTGGCGGGCGGAGCCGATGTGGTGCCATGACCCGGAGAGCTGGAGGGCGCTGTGGGACGGGGAGGTGTTTGAGAGGGGGACGGTGAGGGTGGAGGCGGTGCTGAAGGAGGGGCATGCGCGCTGGGAGGCGGTCAGCGAGGATGGGGGAAGGCCCGGCTCATTGATATGGTCGGTTACTAGACTGTAAAGTCAGCACGGCATGTGTGCAGCGACGTAAGTTAGCAAGACATATTTGCGGTGTAGAATTGTATGGCAATGGATGCTGAGAGTAGTGGTCAGAAGGCCCGTGCGCCGGCGCACGTCAAGGTCGTCGGTGGATGCGTAGTCCAAGTCTGATCCGCCGGCTTCGCCCCCGCTCTGGCGAAATCCCCTCTTGATCACTCTCCCCCACAACACTGTGGACACCGACGACTCTGCTACAGCCAGCGAGCCCGCCATGTCCCCTGCTGGGCTTACTCTGCAACCAGAATGGTCGTCTGGGGAAGGAGGAGCGCTGCCGACACGATGTCGACACTTTGACTGAAGTGAGTCACTTCAGAGTCCCGCGCCCTCCTCGCTGTCGACCACCGTCTGCACCGGCCTCGCACACCTCCTCGCCGTCTCGCAAGGACTCTTAGTCGTCGCGCTCGTTCCCCAGCGAGCATGTCGCGCTCGTTCACCATCCGTGTACCTGCGACGTCCGCCAACATCGGGCCCGGCTTCGACGTCGTCGGCCTCTCGCTCTCGCTCTACCTCACCCTCTCCGTGACCCTCACCCCGCCCCCAACAGCCTCCTACCCCACGCCCCCGTCCATCCGCTACACCGGCGAGGGCGCCGACGAGGTCCCCCTCGACGCCTACAAAAACCTCACCACCCGCGTCGCGCTCTACGTCCTGCGCTGCCACGGCGTGCCCTCCTTCCCGCCCGGGCTCGCCGTGCACGCGCACAACGAGATCCCCTTCGGGCGCGGGCTCGGCTCGTCCGGTGCCGCCGTCGTCGCGGGCGTCCTCCTCGCCGACGCCCTCGCCCGCCTGCGCCTCCCCCCCGCCCGCGTCCTCGACTTCGCCCTCATGGTCGAGCGCCACCCCGACAACGTCACCGCCGCCCTCGTCGGCGGCTTCGTCGGCAGCTACCTCCGCGAGCTCGACCCCGCAGCGACCGAGGCCGCCAGCGTCCCCCTCAGCGAGGTCCTCCCCGAGTACCCCCCCGACGCCGGCGAGGCCTGGGGCGCGCACCCACCGCAGCCCCCGCGCGGCATCGGCCACTTTGTGCGGTTCGGCTGGTCGGAAAGCATCAAGGCGGTCGCGATCATCCCGAGGTTCGAGCTGAGCACCGCGAGGGCGCGCGAGGTGCTGCCGGCGAGCTACTCGCGGAAGGACGTGGTGCGTCGCGCTCCGTGCTAGGCTGATGGCGCCGCTCATGGTTCTGCAGGTCTTCAACCTCCAGCGATTGGCGGTGCTGACCACGGCGCTCGCGCAAACGCCGCCCGATCCCGAGCTCATCTACGAGGCGATGAAGGACAGGATCCACCAGCCCTACCGCAAAGAGCTCGTGAGTCCCCGCGAATCTCGCTCTCAAATCTCGCTCTCAAATCTAACTCCTCATGCGCGTCGCAGATCCCTGGCCTCCCGGAAGTCACCTCGCGCATGACGCCGTCGAGCCACCCCGGACTCCTGGGCATATGCCTCTCGGGTGCGGGACCCACCATACTCGCCCTCGCGACGAGCGGGTTCGAGTCTATCGCCGAGGACGCGCGCGCGATCTTCCGGGAGAAGGGCGTGGAGGTCGACTGGAAGCTGTTGTCCGTAGTAGGCGGTAGCTCGGTAGAGATCAACGATGCGTAGAATGACAGACGACCTTGGCGCGCGCATCGAGACAGACAAGCCGGCCCCCAAGGGACCGTTGCAGCAAGCGGCCAAGGGTTGCGTGTCCCTGCTCGAGGCTGTCGGTGCACCCCCTCGCGAAAATCGTGAAACTGTCATTAGAAAGCAAGCTACATCTCGAGCAACTCTATAGCATCATAAGGTATCATCATCTCGTAAGCGTATGCGGGTATCATCCAATCCAATCCCAGCGCACTCTAAGCACCCCTCTACACATCTACACGCGCATCTAGCCCCCCGCAGTGAGGCACACCGCGCGCGTCGCGACCAGTGCGCCCGCGGTGCTGTCGAACGGCAGGTCCACCGTGAAGAGCACGTGGCTCCTGTCGCTGTTCAGGTACACGGGCAGGTTCACCGTGCCCCCCGCCGCCGCGTCGTCCGCCTGCACCCACCGGATCTGCGACGGGTTCAGCCGCACCGTCTCCCCGTTGTTCAGCGTCAGCTGGTCCGTGTCCCACTTCGCGCCCTCCAGCACGAGCCCTGCGGTACGACATACATTCAGTACCGGCGCATACGGTCAGCTGCGGAACGGACGCACCATCCACAATGTAGGCCCCGGGGTCGTTCACCCGGTCGATGTCGAGCTTCAGGTGCAGCGTCTCGAGGGACCACTTTTTGCGGTGCGCGACCGCCTGGCGCGTCGCGGTGATGTACGCCTCCGGGAAGAACAGCCCGCCAAGCCACACCTCGACGTTGTTCAGGTTGTCCAGCGTCGCGATCTGGTCGAGCTGCGCGAGCCGCCGCGCAAAGTCCGAGATCCAGCCCGAGACCGCCAGCGTCCTGTGCACCTTGTAGCGTCGCCAGTGATCCGGGATGGTACCTGCGAACGAGAGTCAGCGACGGGTGCATGATATCCGTGATAGTGGTACGTACCCTTTGTTAGCGAGCTCATGAGCGTGCGGAGGTGGTTGGTCTGCTTGAGGGCGCCCTCGCAGACCTTGACGATGTCTGCGAGGTCTCTGCGGACTTGCGAGAGGAGCTTGCTGCCGATGGTACCTTCGCGGTAGAACAGACGGTACAGCGGATCCTGGTTCTCGCTGCTCTGCTTCTCGAGTGTATGGAAAGTCTGAGGCAGGGTCAGTACGGCGATCAATATCGCGTTCGCGTCAAGCAGACTGACCGATGGGAGCTGCTCGAGCCACTCCTTGCACCGCTCGTGCAGTTGTCGCATCCAAGCGGGCTGCTGTGAAGCCTGTCCCTTGGACGGGCCCGAGCTGGCAGCCGCTACATCGTCGTCATCGTCGGTGAGCATCCGCATCTTCCTGAGCTTGCCGAGCAGTTCGTTTCCTGTATGTCATCAGTACCTCATGTATCATAGCAAGTTCACAAGCTATCCGCGTACCTTGTGCGACAGCGATGACGCGCTCCGCCGTAGGGGGGAGGCTGAGCCAAGCCGGAGGCTCCCGCTCCGGAAGACCTTGGACCCACGACATGAAGTGGTCGAGCTTCGTTCCTTCAGGTACGCTGAGCACTCTCGCACCCGTAGCACTGGGCACGAGGTCGAAGTCCACATTATACGCCGCCGGCGTGAACAGACCATCCACGAATGCGTCGATGATCTTCTGGTCGAAGTCGCTGTCGACACGCCCACCGTATACACACTGCTTGACGAGCGTTCTCAGAGCATCCCATGGGATCACTGCGGGGTCGATATTTGCACGACCCTTCGACACGGAGTTGATCCACGTGTCGATCGTGGTGAACGCGGAGGCCATATCTGAGTCGTTGAAGTCGTAGAGCTTGCTCCATCCGAGCGGGACGTAGCGTAGACGCTCTTGAACAACTGCGTGGAGCCAGGCCAACAGGAAGTACAGCCGAGCCTTCTCCGCAGGACCTTGGGACAGGCGCGAGCTCGAGATACCGCGCAGCGAGTCGGTGAGATTGGCCTTGATACCCGGTGGCGGCTCGTTCATGAGGATTCTCGACTGGCGGAGGATGTTGACAGGAATGCTGGGGTTGGCCTCCATGGTGAGGAAGAGACGGAAGTTGCGGTGCGGGTTGAGAGTCTGCAGTTTCTTCTCGAGCTGACCGAGCCATGACGGAGCCAGGTGAACGTTCTTGAGCAGGACCCATGAGCCTTGGCGCGCTGCTGACGCGATAGCTTGATCCGCAAGAGTAAAGCCTTCCTGAGAGCCCATAGCAACGGAGGCGCAACGAGCACCCGTGTCGCGAATCAGATTGTCGACTCGGTAGCTGGCGTCATACCCAGTTACAGACACCAGCGATAGAGGTGTGGAGGGTAAGATTTCGTCAGCGACCATCGACCCGAGGTTGTACGCAGACTCGGCGTTCATATCAGCCTCAAAGACGGTGCGCACGAAGGCTGCTGTTGCTTGCAACAATCGATCCGGTCGGAGACACTTGATGACAAGCATCCGGCGTGTGCCCTCCAGAGCAGCTGTGATATATTTAGTCAATGTCTGAAACGACAGGCGAATATTTGTGGCGCGACTTACGTGTGCCGGGGCCCCATGCAGAAGGAACCGATTGTTCCGGAACGTTTGATTCCAGGAGTGCAGCCCACTCGCTTTCGTGCTGCACAATGTGCTCGAGAACAGGCTTGAAGATCGGCTGTCTCCCATAACTCTCCAGTCGTTGCTTCTGATCGATAGACAGGAACGTGAGGCTGTGTATGTCGGCATTACCACCACCAGTGGCCACAGCACTGTCACCACTCTCGAGAAGGAATTCGAGTTCGTCAGTGATCTCTTCGACTCCCCGTAGCTTCACCTGAGCCAACAGCACGGCGAGCATGACGTGATCGCGATGAAGGAGCGCGCGAGATGTCCGCTTGTATGCCATCAGGAAGAGATCCTTGAGCAGGATTTCTCTCCGACGATGATAGTCGGATACGCCCTTCAAATTTGGATTCTGGTGGAGAACATAGTCGAAGATGTCCAGGAAGAAGCGCAGGGAGAACTGATAGAAGTGGTTGACGAGGTTGAGCTGCTCGAGAATGAAGAATACGGCGCTGCATGCTTGCGCCAGAGGCAGGTATTCGGCAGTAACTTGCTCCACCTCTCGCATGACGAGATCCGTCTCCTCCACTTTGTGTGTGATCTCTGCCGCCTCCCGCTTCAGCGTCTCGAGAGTATTGATGACCTTGTCATCATCAAGAATGTTTCCGGACGACTCGTTCAACGCCTGCAAGAGCAGCTTCTCCAATGTGCGCAAACGCAGGCGGAATTCACCCTGCATCTTCATCAAGTCGGTCCGCTTCTTTTCCGTGTCTGGTCGCTCGACTTTCAGGACTTGGTCAAGCGATTGACTTTGCAGACTGCTCCTCGTCATGGTGAAGTTGACAAAGGTGACGCGACTGCATATGTCAGGTGAGAACTCGACCGAGGGGTCCCGGGTAGCCAAGAACATCGTGAAGGAAGGCGAGAAGTCGATATCCTGGCTACCGAGCCGGATGAGAACTCGACCACCGGTACGGCGAATCTCTTTGTTAAGCACGGGGTTCAAGATGGGGTCAAGGTGCTCGACATCCTGAATGAGGAGTGTGTTGCCGAAACGCAGCGCGCTCTCCAAGACCTTCAGGAACGCTTCATCCAGGAAACTCGTCACTGTGATCTTGCGATCCTTGTACTCTTTGAGCAAGAAGTTGGTGGCTTGGCCGGTCGGGTCAATGATCAAAGGATACCGGCTGAAGCGCTTGATCATGATGGCGTTCTCGGTGCATAGATTGTCGGAGGGCAGCCCTTTGGATTGCCAGCTGAGACGATCATCTGCAGTCGACAGGTAGTCTGGCATGGAGAGCTCAGTCTTGAATTTGATATTCGCCTCCGCAAGGTGCGACGACCACTCTTGCCACATCTGTTCACGGTACTGTTGATCGAAGAATCCACCGTAGGCCAAGAAAGCTGCGGAGAGCAGTACGTCGCCCACAATGGTGCCCATCTCTGTGTCGAATGTGCGACTGCCAGACTCCCAACGGGTCTTCTCTGACGATAGACTGTCCAGCAGCGTCATGCTGCGGTTGACCTTGCTCTCAACGCGCTCCATCTCTCCCTTGATAGCTTCGGTTTCTCGGATCAGAGCTGCATACTCCTGTTTGTATCGCTCGATGCTGGCTTCCAGCTCGGCTACCATCGTCACCATCATCTTCGCCTGCTCTTTGGTACGTTCCGCTTGATCCTCCAGCGACTGCACCTCATTGCGCAGAGGCTCCACCTTGTCCAGAATCTCGGAAAAGCGGACTTGGGCAATGGCCCACTTGACGAGAGGCCCGCAAGCTTTACTGGCACGGTTCACGTTCTCGTAGGTGTAGGAAGGCCGGCTGACGAAATCCCTCTTCATGATTTCGCGTAGATGTTTCGTCATCTGGGTCGTGGTATCGAAGTTCACGATTCGCTGAATGAAGTCATCGCGACGGATGATACCCTGGACCGTACGCCAGCTGTCGATTTTGTGCCCGAGGATGGTACACACAGACTCCATAGCCAGCTTGACAGCCTCCGGAGGATTGGCCATAGTACGAACTTCCTGCAAGTGCTGCCGCTTGATGTTGCTCACAGCCGCTTGAGCATCCAGGACGGCTGGTTCGGCGTCTGCTAAATCCGCCATGACGACGGCGCGACGTTGCTCGATGTGCTTGTCCTGTGCGGCTAGAGCAGCCTGGATATCGATCGATGCCGCCTTCTTCTGCTCCGCTTCCTGTTGGTCCGCGACCATGCGCTTCAGCTTCCTATCGGCTTCCTCGTTTTTCGCTTCGAGCTGCGTGCGTTTGATAGCGAGACTCTTGCGAAGCTCCTCGACCTGCGTTACTGTTTCACGCAATTTGTCCAGTCCTACATGGAGATGGCGCTGTTGCTCTTCCAACTCCTCGCGCTTCTCGTTGTGCAGGCGAACGTAGTGGTTGATGCTGAAGAGTTATCAATGTACCATTCGTGAAATCAAAACTGTGGACTCACAAGTCCAGGTAATGCCGTGGCGTAACGTAGTTGTAACGTCCTTGCCGGCGGCTAAGGCGTAGGTTGATCTGATGCAGCGATTGATGCACATACACCAGCGCATTGACGACAGCGGCACGGTGGATCGGAGGCATTGAGAGTTCGCGATATGCGATGGGGAACATAGCCGGTGGGTTGTACGAAGGGAGATCGAGATCCAGTGTGTTGGTGAACTCCATTCCAACTTGGTAGAAGGCTTGATCAGACC